CCACATTTATTGATTTGTGTTTGTTGAACCATATTTGCATTCCTGGGGTAAATCCTAGTTGATCATGGTGTGTTGTCTTTTGATGTGCTGGGTTTGGTTTCCAGTATTTTGTTGAGGATCAGTGAATCTGTGTCCCTCAAGGATACTAGCCTCAACTTTCTCAAGTTGGAAAATAAAGGTCGCATGTTAGAAAACATAGAATATGGGAAAACAAACAAACTGAGCCATTGAAACAGGAGGAAGGTACTGTCCTGCAAGTAGTAGAGAAGGAAGAGGAAAGGCAGCTTAAATAAAAGGCATAAAAATAAATCTATTTTCTTTCTTGTGATTCATGTATTACTCAGAGGTCTCTGAGGTCCTAGAACTTCTGTTGAGATTTTCAAATCAATTAGTAATAACATTCACGTATTGTATTTCGCTGATGTGCTTTACTGCTAATTTCTATGGGAAAAAATTAGACTCCATCTAATTTGTATGTTGAGACTTTTTATTACTGTTCCAATCTTGGTTGTTTGTATGTGTCCAGGAATTCATTTCCTGTAGATTTTCTAGTTTGTTGATGGATAGTTGTTCATAATAGTGACTTTTTTATATCTGTGGTATCAGTTTTTTTCTACAAGTATATTTAAGACTGCTTTATTCTAGTTATAGGATAAAACTTGAAACAAACTAAAATATTTCTGTGTTAGAAAGGATAAATTGGACAGGCATGGTGGTTCATGCCTGTAATCCTAGCACTTTGGGAGACCAAGGCAGGTGAATCACTTGAAGTCAGGAGTTTGAGACCAGGCTGGTAAACATTATGAAAACTAAAAAAAATTAGCTGGGCATGGTGGTCATCATCTATAATCGCAGTTACTTGGGAGGTTGAGACAGGAGAATCACTTGAACCCAGGAGATAGAGGTTGAAATGAGCCGAGATCATGCCATCGCTCTCCAGCCTGGACGACAGAGTGAGACTCGGTCCAAAAAAAAAAAAAAAAGGATAAATTGTGCAATAGTCACACATGCATGAATAGCCATTACAATGAGTAAACAATATCTTAATGCAAACAACATGGATTAATCTTAAAAGCATCATGTTAGATAAAATAAGCAAGGCAAAATAATGCATTTCTCAGTTGCTAACATGATGAAAAGTAAAGGAATTATATAAGCTAGGCTAATTACTTTCATTTTTAAAAAGCTATTTTTATTGTGGGTACATAGATATATTTTTGGGTATATAAGATATTTTGATGCAGGCATGCAATGTGAAATAAATATATTATGGAAAAAGGGGTATCTGTCCCCTCAAGCATTTATCCTTTGAGTTATAGGCAATTCATTTCCATTCTAAGTTTTCCTAAAATGTGCAATTATTGATTATAGTCACCCCACTGTGCTATCAAATAGTAGGTCTTATTCATACAATGTTTTTGTACCTATTAACCATCCCTACCTTTCTCCTCAGACCCCTGTAACCCTCCCAGCCTCTGGTAATCACCCTTCTCCTCTCTATCTCCATGAGTTTAGTTGTTTTGATTGTTATACCCACAAATAAGAGAGTACATGTAATGTTTGTCTTTCTGTGCCTGATTTCTCAACATAATGATCTCCATTTCCATGTTGTTGCAGATGACAGGATCTCATTCTTTTTAAACTGAATAGTACTCTATTTTGTACATGTACTATATTTTCTTTATCTGTTCATCTGTTGGACACTTAGGTTGCTTCTAAATCTTGGCTATTATAAACAGTGCTGCAACAAACATGGGAGTATTTGACATACTGATCTCCTTTCTTTTGGGTGTCTACCCAACAGTGAGATTGCTGGATCATACGGCAAGTACAGCTAGTGCTCGACTTACGACCGTGATTGGTTCCGACAGACCAGTCGTAACACGATTTGGTCGTAAGTTGAGGAGGCTATATGTACAGTACTGTGAAATGATGTTATAAAAATCTTTAAGTCATATTTTATCATAATTTTCTTTCATTATTGTTATATATAATAATTTTCTTTGTTCATTTTATGCCATTTGTGCCTTGAGGAATAAACCAGTCTTCAAACAATCCTTGTGTCATCCATGCTTTACGTTGAGAACGAAAGTAGATGGGCAGTGTGTGCTTGTTAACATTCCTGAACACACGCGGGTTGTCTGAGTGATAAATTAAGAAGGGCTTCAGCTTAAACCCTGCGATGTTCCTGCCAAGCAGCAGAGTTAGCCTATCCTTAAATGCTTTAAATCCCGGCATGCTTTTGGCCTCTTTGTGAATATAAGTGCGTGCTGGCATCCGTTTCCAAAATAATCCCGTTTCATCAGCATTGAAAATCTGTTCTGCTAGATATCCCTCATCTGTAATTAATTCATCCAGACTATCAACAAACTTATGTGCTCCTTCCTTATCCGCACTCCAGTCACTTGAACACTATGCATTTGGAATCTTTTCTTGAATCTCTGGAACCAGCCAGTGCTTGCTACAAATTCTTGACTGTAATCTTCTCCAGCACACCCCTTCAGAGTCTGAAATAGACTTCTCGCCTTGATCTGCACAGTAAAAAGACTGGCCATTTTTGAATTTGATCTTCCATTCAAATATATAGCAATTTCTCTATTTCGTGGATGGGCACGCTTCGTTGCTTTGTTATAACTGTTGATCGCATGGGTGCAGAACCTTTCACAGCTTCACGAATTCTTTCTTTATCTTTCAAAATCATCGACACAGTCCAGTGTGATAACTTCGTATCACGTGCGATCACATTCACTTTCTTTCCTCCTTCATACTGCTTAATTACCTTCATTTTCGTGTCCAGATCAGTGGCCTTTCTTTCCTTCTTGGCAGGCCGAGGTGTAGACAAAGACAATTTCCTCTTGGTAGACATCTTGGGAGGGGTTTGATGAAAAATATCCAAGACACAAAACACAAATTGCTGTACCGAGTCTGGGATAACAGTTGAAATGGTGCGCGCCGAGATGGTAGTGCTCCTGGAAGCTGGTCTGCACTGTTGTCCACCCAGCTAGACAACATTTGCGCTGCCAGACGCGACGTAGTCATGGCTAGGGATTGTGGTCGTAAAGCCGAATGGTTGTAAGTTCCATAGGTCGTAAGTCGATCAATACCTGTATATTATTAGTTTTTTGAAGAACCTCCAAACTGTCCCCCCACTTTATTTTATTTTTTTTTTTTGACAGTTGGCAGAGCTAGCTGAGGTTTTGTTTTGGACCAAAATAAATAAATAAATTGTTCGTACCTGCCGGCATGGGCAAGGGGTGGGTCCCCAGGCAGTAAACTCCTCCTCGGTGGGCTGCGGGCTAGAGCTGAGCCTCGGGTGGGTCTCCTGTTTCCTGTGCTCCCCTGTACAGTGTTCTCCCTCCGAGGCTCTGGGGCAGCTGCAGGAGGGGCAGGCTGGGAGTGGCTGCCGCAGCTGTTGACTTGGGCAGGAGGTCAGAGGACTCGGACACCAGCTTCCCATCGCAGGTCTTGATCTTCTTCACAACCATGGCCCTGGTGGAGCTGATGGGGTTGAAGGAGCTGGAGCCCGTGCCACAGCCAAAGCTACAGCCCAGGCCGTAGCTGAGGCCAGGACTTCTGAGGCCCCCATAGGTCGAGCTCAGACCACCTGCATAGCCACTTGTGGTCTTAGCATGGATTTACAACATTCTGCATCCCAGACTCCAGCTGGCTCTCTTAGCCTTCCAGCAGCTTCCTGTAGGTGGCGATCTAGATGTCTAGGGCTAGCTTGACGTCGATCAGCTCCTTGTGCCGCTGCCACACCAGGTCCTGCTTGGCCCGCTGCAGGGCGGCCTTCAGCTTGGACAGCTTGGTGTTCCCATCCTTAATGGCCAGCTCACCACACTGCTCCATGGTGACCTCCAGGGAAGCCCTCTGGCCTTTGAGGCCCTCAATCTCAGCCTGGAGACGGCTGATGTTCAGTTCATCTCAGAGATCTCAGTCTTTTTATGCTGCAGGTCATCCCCGTGCTTCCCAGCCAGCGTCTGCAGCTCCTCATACTTGATCTGGTACACGCTCTCAGCCTCAGCCCAGCTGCGATGGGCGATCTCATCCTGCAACTTAACCTCAGCGATGATGCTGTCGATGTCCAGGGAGGGCCTGTTGTCCATGGACAGTACCACAGACATGTCCAAGATCTGGGACTACAGCTCCTGGACGTGCTCTTCATAGAGCTGCCTCAGTCAGCCCTTCCAGGCAAGACTGCGGCTCGATCTTGTTCATGTAAGCTCATCCACATCTTTCTTGATAAGGACAAATTCATTCTTGGTCTCTGTATTCTTAATGATCTCATCCTTATAATTGTTCTTGAAGTCCTCCACCTGCCCCTGCATGTTGCCAAGCTCTGCCTCCAGCTTCAGCTTCTCCTGGCCCAGAGTTTCTAGCTGCTAAGGTTGTTGATGTAGCTCTCGAACATGTTGTCCATCTTGCTCCGAGCCATCTTCTGCTGCTGCAAGTGGCTCCACTTGGTCTCCAGCATCTTGTTCTCCTGCTTCAGGAACCATATCTTGACAATGAAGTAGGCAAACTTGTTGAGGGTCTTGATCTGCTCCTTTTCCTGGGTGAACATGGCCTGGATGTTGGGGTCCACCTCCAGGTTAAGGGGGCTTCGCAGGCTCTGGTTGGCCATAACGCTGATGATGCCTCCCATGCCTCTGGCCCCACCACAGCCTCTGCCCAGGCCATCCCAGAAGCTGCTGCTGCCCACTCAGGAGAAACTCGAGGACCTGATATGGGTACCCGGCCCACTTGTGTAGGAGCAGCTGCTGAAGGCCCTGGGACCAGAGGTGAACACCTTGTAGGACTTCTGGGTCATGCAGATAGACGTGGTAGAGGCAGGAAGGCTGAATCAGGCAGAGATTCCAGAAGGAGCAGAGAAACTGCTCCTTAGTCAAGGGTTGCCTTTTCTTTATATCTTCGTTAGCATTTATTATTGCCTCTTTTGGATATAAGCCATTTTAACTGGGTCAAGATGATATCAGATTGTAGTTTTGATTTGCATTTCTCTGATCAGTGATGTTGAGCACCTTTTATATGCCTGTTTGCCATTTGTATACTTTTTCTTTGAGACGGAATTTTGCTCTTGTTGCCCAGGCTGGAGTGTAACGGTGTGATCTCCGCTCACTGCAACCTCTGGCTCCTGGGTTCAAGTAATTTTCCTGCCTCAGCCTCCCAGGTAGCTGGGATTACAGGTGCCCACCATCATGCTCAACTAATTATTGTAAGTTTTTTTTTTTTTTTTTAGTAGAGATGGGGTTACTCCATGTTGCCCAAGCTGGTTTCGAACTCCTGACCTCAGGTGATCCACCTACCTCGGCCTCCCAAAGTGCTGGGATTACAGGTGTGAGCCACTGCCCCTGGCCACCATTTGAGACATGGCTATTCAAAACTTTTGCCCATCTTTTGATTGGATTGTTAGACTTCTTTCCTATAGAGTTGTTTGAGCTTCTTATATATTGTGGTTATTAATAGCTTGTCAGCTAGGTAGTTTGCAAATATTTTCTCCCATTCTGTGCGTTGTCTCTTCGCTTTGTATCCTTTGCTGTGCGGAAGCTTTTTAACTTGATGTGATCCCATTTGACTACTTTTGCTTTGGCTGCCTGGCCTGTGGGTTATGTCTCAAGAAATTTTTGCCCAGATCAATGTCATGGAGATTTTCCCATTGTTTTACTGTAGGAGTTCCATAGTTTGAGGTCTTAGATTTAGGTGTTTGATCCATTTTGATTTAACTTTTTGTGTATGGTGAGAGGTAGGGGTCTAGTTTCATTATTCTGCATATGGATAATCCATTTTTCCAGCACCATTTATTGAAGAGACTGCCTTTTCCCTAATATATGTTCTTAGCACTTTTGTCAAAAATGAGTTCACTGTAGGTGTATGGATCTGTTCCTGGTTTCTGTATTCTCTTCCATTGGTCTATGTGTCTGTTTTTGTGCCAGTACCATATTGCTTTAGTTACTGTATCTCTGTAGCACAATTTGAAGTTGGGTAATATGGTTCCTCCAGTTCTCCCCTCCCCCAACCTTAGGATAGGAATTGTGTTGAATCTGTAGATTGCTTTGGGTAATACGTACATTTTCCAATGACTATTCCAATGACAAATGTGAAATTTTTTTTTGCTGTCCTCTTCAATTTCTTTCATCTATGTTTTTTATAGTTTTCATTAGAGATCTTTCACTTCTTTTGGTTAACTCTCAGGCATTTAATTTTACATGTAGCTATTGTAAATGAGGTTTCTTTCTTGATTTTTCACATTGTTGGCTGTTGTCATATAGAAATGCTACTGATTCTTGTATCCTGTAACTTTACTGAATTTATCAGTTCCAATAGTTTTTTCTAAATGTAAGATCATATCTGCAAACAAGGATACTTTGTTTTCTTCCTCTTTAATTTGGATGCCCTTTAGGTTGTTCTCTTGTCTGATTGCTTTAGGTAGGACTTCCAGTACTACGTTGAGTGACATTGGTGACAGTGGCCATCCATGTCATGTTCCAGATCTTAAAAGGCTTTCAGTTTTTTCCCATTCCATATGATACTAGCTGTGAATCTGTCATATATGGCTTTTATTATGTTGAGCTATGTTCTTTCTTGCCTGAGCTTTTTGGCAGTTTTTATCATGAAGGGGTGTTGAATCTTATCAAATGTTCTTTCAGCATCAATGAAATGATCATATATGGTTTTTATCCTTCATTCTGTTTTGATGTGTCACATTGATTGGCATATGTTGAACCATCCTTGCATCCCAGGGATAAATCCCACACCATGATTAATAATCTTTGTAATATATCATTGATTTCAGTTTGCTAGTATTTCATTGAAGATTTTTGCCTCAATATTCAGGGATATCTGCCTGTAGTTTGCTCTTTTTGAGGTGTCTTCATCTGGTTTTGGTATCAGGGTAATACTGGACTTGCAGTACTCCCTCTATTTTTTGGAATTGAATAGGACTGATATTAGTTCATTTTTCAAATGTTTAATAGAATGCAGTGGTGAAGCTGTCGGGTCCCAGGCTTTTCTTTTTTTTGGAGATTTTTTATTATGGCTTCAATCTTGTTACTTGTTATTTGTCTGTTCAGGTTTTGGATTTCTTCATGATTCAATCTTGGTAGGTTGTATGTGTCTAGGAATTTTTCCATTTCTTTTAGATTTTCCAATGTATTGGCATCTAGTTGCTCACAGCAGCCACTGATGATCCTTTGCATTTCTACAGCATCAGTCTTAATGTCTCCATTTTCATTTCTGACTTTATTTTCATCTTCTCTCTTTTTATCAGTCTGGCTAAGGTTTGTCGATTTTGTTTAACTTTTCAAAAAATCAACTTTTTGTTGCACTTATCTTTTGTACTGTTTCATTTCAGTCTTATTTCTGCTTGATCTTTATTTTTCTAATTTTGCGTTAGGTTTGCTCTAGCTTCTCTATTTCTTTGAGATACACAGATCATTTTTTTGAAGTTCTTCCTTTTCTTTGATGTAGAACATACAGCTATAAACTTCCCTCTTAGTATAGCTTTTGCTGTATCTCAGAGCTTTTGGTATGTTGTATTTCCATGATCACTTGTATCAATAAATTTTTCAATTTCTTTAATTTATTCATTGACCCACTGGTCATTTAGGATGATATTGTTTAACTTCCATATATTTGTATGCTTTGCAAAATTCCTCTTGTTCCAGTTTTATTCCATTGTGGTCCGAGATGATGCTTGATAAATTCCATTTTTGAATTTTTTCAAACTTGTTTTGTGACCTAACAAATATATTGTCTATCTATGAGAATGATCCATAGGCTGAGGAAAAAACTGTGTATTCTGCAGCCATTGGATGAAATGTTCTGTAAATATCTATTAGATCTATTTAGTCAATAGTGCAGATTAAGACTTTCTTTGTTTCTATCTAGGTGATCTGTTCACAGCTGAAAGTGGGGTGTTGATTTCCAACTGTTACTATATTGAGGCCTATCTTTCTCTGTAGCTCTAATATTTGCTTTCTATATCTGGGAGCTCCACTGTTGGGGTTGTGTGTGTGTGTGTGTGTGTGTATTTAAAATTATTATATTGTATTGTTGAATTGATCCCTCTATCATTATACAGTGAACTTCTTTGTCTCTTGTAGTTTGGTCTTAAAATCTACTTTGTCTGATAAGTATAGCAACTCCTGTTCTTCTATAGTTTCCATTAGCATGGAAGATCATTCTCCACTCCTTTACTTTTCAGTCTATGTGTATCTTTATATGTTTCCTGTAGGCAACAGATCACTGGCTTTTGTTTTTTCATCCATTCAGCTATTCTACATATTTTGATTAGAGAGTTTAATCCATTTATATTCAATGCTACTATTGGTAAGTAAACACTCCTGCCATTTTCTGGTTGTCTTTGTGGCTTATCTATCTAATTTTTTTCCTTCCTATCTTCCTTTAGTGAACATGATTTTCTCTGGTGATATAGTTTCTTTGTTTAGTTTTTTTCTTTCTTTTCTTTCTTTTTTTCTTTATTTTCTTTCTTTCCTTTTTTTTTTTTTAGATGGACTCTTGCTCTGTCACCAGGCTGGAGTGCAGTGGCATGATCTTGGCTCACTGCAACTCCTGCCTCCTGGGTTCAAGAGATTCTCTTGCCTCAGCCTCCCGAGTACCAGGGACTACAGGCATGTGCCACCACACCCAGCTAATTTTTGTATTTTTCATAGAGAAAGGTTTTCACCACGTTGGCCAGGATGATCTCAGTCTCTTGACCTTGTGATCTGCCTGTTTTGGCTTCCCAAAGTGTTGGAATTACAGGTGTGAGCAACCAGGCCTGGCCTCTTCTTAAATTTATTTAAAAATACATATATAACTTACTGCTTTTTGCTCCGGTCAGACATAACTTACCTGCAGTTTTTGCTTTTCACATTTTGTGTATTCATTATATATTTTTTGGCTTGAGATTACCATGAGGTTTGCAATAGTATCTTATAATCTATTATTTTAACCTGGTAACAACTTAACACTCTATAAACAAACATATAAAAAGAAAGCTAATAGAAACTTTACACCTTAAATCCATTCCCTGCTTTTTTTTTTCTTTTTTTTTTGGAGACAGTCTCCCTTTGTTGCCAGGTGCCAGGCTGGAGTGCAGTGGCACAATCTCGGCTCACTGCAGCTGCCGCATCCCAGGTTCAAGCAATTCTCCTGCCTCAACATCCTGAATAGCTAGGACTGCAGGTGCATGCCACCATGCCCAGCTAATTTTTGTATTTTTTTAGTAGAGATGGGGTTTCATCATGTTGGCCAGATTGGTCTTGATCTCTTGACCTTGTGATCCACCTACCTTGGCCTCCCAAAGTGCTGGGATAACAGGTGTGAGCCACCGTGCCCGGCCTCTATTCTCTGCTTTTAAATTTTTTGTTTCTATGTATCTTATTGTACTGACTATGTCTTGAAGAGTTGTTCCAGTTATTTTCAATTGGTTAATTGTTTAGTCTTTGTACTGAGGGTAAGAGCAGTTTACACACCATAGTTACAGTATTAAGATATTCTCTCTCTCTGTGTGTGTGTGTGTGTGTGTGTGTGTGTGTGTGTGTGTGTGTGTGTGTGTTTTTCAGGATGCTTCCTATTACCAGTGAGTTTTATGCCTTCAATAATTACTTACGCTTATTAATATCCTTTCCTTTCTCATCGAAGTACTCCCTTTAGCATTTCTTGAAGGGAAGATTTGGTGTTGATGAAATGCCTTGACTTTTGTTTGTCAGCAAAAGTCTTTTTTTTCTTCTTTTTTTTTTTTTGAGATGGAGTTTCACTCTTGTTACCCAGGCTGGAGTACAGTGGCGTGATCTTGACTCACTGCAACCTCTGCCTCTTGGGTTCAAGCAATTCTTCTGCCTCAGCCTCCCGAGTAGCTGTGACTACAGGCTCATGCCACCATGCCCAGCTAATTTTTGTATTTTTAGTAAAGATGGGGTTTCACCATGTTGACCAGGATGATCTTGATCTCTTGACCTCATGATCCCCCTACCTTGGCCTCCCTAAGTGCTGGGATTATAGGTGTGATCCACTGCACCCAGCCTGCAAAAGTCTTTTTCTCCATGTTTGAAAGATGTTTTCACTGGATATAGTATTCCAGGGTAAAACATTTTCTCCTTGAGCACTTCAGGTGTCATGCCACACTCTCCTGTCCTGTAATGTTTCCACTGAAAAGTCTGCTGCCAGATGTATTGGAGCTCCATTGTATGTTATTTGTTTCCTTTCTCTCACTGCTTTTAGGATCCGTTCTTCATCCTTGACCTTTGGGAGTTTGATTATTACATACCTTGAGGTAGTTGTCTTCAGATTAAATCTGCTTGGTTTTCTTGTACTTGGATATTGATATCTTTAGGTTTGGGAAGCTCTCTGTTATTATCACTTTGAATGAATTTTCTATCCATATATTTTTCTCTACATCTTTAAGGCCAATAACTTTAGATTTCCCCTTTGTAAGACGGTTTTCTAGATCCTGTTGGCATGCTTCATTGTTTTTATTCTTTTGTCTCCTGCATATTTTCAAATAGCCTGTCTTCAAGCTCACTAATTCTTTCTTCTGCTTAATCATTTCTTCTAGTAAAAGACTCTAGGCTGGGCACAGTGGCTGGCGCCTATAATTCCAGCACTTTGAAAAGCTGAGGCAGGAGAATCACCTGAGGTCAGGAGTTCAAGACCAGCCTGGCTAACATGATGAACCCCTGTCTCTACTAAAAATACAAAAATTAGCCACGTGTGGTGGTACACACCTATAGTCCTAGCTACTTGGGAGGCCGAAGTGGGAGAATCACTTGAACCTGGGAGGCAGAGGTTTTAGTGGGCTTAGATTGCACCACCGCATTTCAGCCTGGGCAACAGAGTGAGACTTTGTCTAAAAAAAGCAAAACAAAAAACTCTAATGTATTCGTTAATATGCCAATTGTGTTTTTCAGCTCTAGTATTTTTGCTTTTCATTTTAATTATTTCAATCTCTTTATTACATTTATCTGATAGAACTCTGAATTCCTACTCTCTGTTGTCTTGAATTTCTTTGTTTCTTCAACATAGCTATTTTGAATTCTGTTTGAAAAGTCACATATGTCTTTCTCCAGGATTGGTTCCTGGTGCCTTATTTAGCTCATTTGGTGAAGTCATGTTTTCCTGGATAGTATTGATGTCTAGTAGGTGTTCTTTGGTGGCCAGGCATTGAAGAGTTTGGTGTTTGTTGTAGTCTTAATGGTCTGGGCTTATATGTACCTGCCCTCCTTGGGAAGGCTTTCTAGATATTTGAAAGAACTTGGGTGTTGGGATTTACGCTGTATCTGCTTTAAAGGACACCATAAGCCCAGTAACACTGTGGTTCTTGATAACTTACAAAAATACCACCTTTATGGTCTTGGACAAGATCCAGAAGAATTCTGGATTATCAGGCAGAGGCTCTTGTTGTCTACCTTTACTTTTTCCCAAACTGAATCCTGTCTGTTCTGAGCCACCTTAATCTGAAGGGAGAATGACACAAGCACCCCTGTGGCCAGCACCACGTTGACTGTGCTGGGTCAGTCCTGAAGCCAGGATAGCACTGGGTCTTGCCCAAGGCCTGCTCTCACCACTTCCTGGCTACTGCCTACGTTTGCTCAAAACCCTGGGGCTCTTCAACCTGCCAGTAGCAAAGCCACCCAGGCCTGTGTCCTTCCCTTCAGGGAACCAAGGTGCCTGGGCCCTGCATGGGTCCAGTGGTGCCATGTGGGAGCTGGGGACTAGAAGTCAAAAGACTTAGAAGGCTGCCTGGTATTCTGTTGCACTGTGGCTTAGCTGGATAACAGTCTTTCCCACTCTTCCCTCCCTTTTTCAAACATAGAGGAGCCTCTCCCCACGGCCACCATCACAGGCCCATGAGGAATACTGCCGGACTACAGTCAGGATTCTTCATTTAGCTTGTGGTGAGAGCTGCCTGGCCTGGAACTCGCCCTTCAGGGCAGTGGGCTCCCCTCTGGCCCAGGGTAGGTCCAGAAATGCTGTCCAAGAGTCAAATTCTCGAATTGGGGACTCTAAGAGCCTACTTGGTGTTCTGCCTCCCTGTGGCTGTGCTGGTATTTAAGGTACAAGACCAAGTCCCCTTTACTTTTCCCTCTGCTTTTCTCAAGCAAAAGAAGTTTTGTCCCATAGCCACCACAGCTGAGAATCTGCTGAGTCTCATCTCAAACCAGAGAGTCTTAGAGGCTCAACCAAGGCCTTGGCCTCATCGTAGTCCCTGGGTATCCTGGGTATCACTGCTGGTTATTCAGACTCAAGGACTCTTCAGTTAGCAGGCGATGAATGCTGTCAGGACTGGGTCCTTTTATGCAAGGTAATGTGTTTCCTTCTTGCCCGGGTTGGGTCAAGAAATGTTCTCCAGGAGTTAGGGCCTGGAACAGGGGCCTCACAACTCTGACTAGTGCCTTACCCTGCAGTGGTTGAGCTGGTATCCAAGATGCAAGACAGAGTTCTCCGCACTTTAACCTCTCCTGTCCTTAAGTGGAAGGAAGGGGCCCCTTTTGGAGCCACAAGCTGTGTAGCCTGGGGTTTTGAGAGGGGCGATGCCAGCATTCCATTAGCCACCCCAGCTGGTCTCTCAGTATGTCACATGTTCCCCCCCACCCCCCAGTCCACTATCTCTGGGCCTAGTTCATCATTAGGACTCACCTAAGAGTTGCAGTCCTTATGTCCTCACCTGCCTTTCAAGTTCACTTGGGGACAGAGCACTATAGCCCTCAGTGGCAGGAACTCAAGTTCCTAACACTGGGATAAGTGATTCCCCTCTGGCTAGGGCTGGTTTAAATGCTTCCTCTATGGGCCGGTGTCAGCTGAGTTTGGTCCAGTTTTCCTTTCTACTGTAACAGCACTGTGTTGAGGACCTCACAAATGCTGTGTTTTCCTTCTTCCCCCACCACCCCGACCCTGTGCCCAGAGATGCTCAGCTGCCAGGGGTGGAGGGGGTGGTGGCATCGGCTATTTAGGACTAGTTTTTCTATCTCTTTAGAGCCTCTTTCAGTGATAGAAGTTAGAACGAGGTATTATAAGGAGCTCACCTGACTTTTGGTTCTCATGAAGGTGGTTTTTTCTGTGTAAATAGTTGTTCAATTGGTGTCTCTGTTGGTGAATGATTGGAGCCTTCTATTCTGTCATCTTGCTCTGCCTATCCATGACCTAGGCCACTTTTTGCTTCTTAAAAACCGGGGTGATTAGTTACTTTATACTATTTATTAAACCTTGTGCTTAAGTTTTATGTACTTTTTCTATGTGAATACTACATGTTACAAATAAAAAGTTGAAAAACAACGATCTGCTGTATTACTTAGCCTGTCAAATTTAACTGTTAAAGTCTCATTGTGATGCTTTCAAGCATCCCTTCTTATTCTTGTTCTTCCTCTCCCTTTCTGTCTCTCTGCTTGAACATAATTTATTTGTAGAGAGTGGATTAAACTCTACACACTGTCCTGTAACCTAATTCCCACTTACATGTCTCTTGAGGCACATTCCATATCAGTGCATACAAATCTGTTGACTTTTTGAAAATTATTAATATGTTAAATTTTTACATAGAGGTAGCATGATTTAACCACTTCTGCTTATGAGCATTTTATTTGTACCAGATATTTTTATATCAAATAATGTTGCCATTAATATAGTTTTAAATAAAGTTTGACGCTTTGCCAATGTATTTATAGGATTTGCACTGGAATTACTCAAAGTATACTAATTTATATTGTGACAAATGTCAATTTGGTGTCTAAAAAGGCACCCATACACTTTTCTGACAAGAAAAGGATGAAGATAACCTATGAGATTTTTCAGAAAATTTCCTTGAAACTTCTTTCATATTTATAAATACCAAACATTTTAGATTTTCAAACTAATTAATAAATCCATTTTAAAATCAGAATATTTTTAAAATCTATTTTTGCATTAACTGTGAAAACAATACAGAAAATTTCTTAAAATACAGGAAGAAAATTATCTCACAATATCCAATTACAGCGAACCATTGTAAAGGTAAGGAGAACACCATTTGCAGAATCTCTCTCAGAATAAATAAATATAATAGTGCTAAAGGAGAGACAGCTAGGTAAGAATATTCTAGTGAAATGGGATGGCATGATATTTTTAATGATTAAAAGTGTTGCCTTAGAACCCAACAGAAGATGAAAAATTTGAGTAGAAATTAAAGGTGTTCAGGTACAAATGAAGGTGTTGTTATTCTCACATAAGATATATTAGTTGCTAAAAGATCATTCTCGGACTTAAAATATTAGAGAAATATAAAGGTCATTAATATTTATAGTTTTCAACACTCGGCAAGATCTGTGATTCCTTTAGGTGAAAGTTGAGAATAAAGGTTTGTTTGTTTGTTTGTTTGAGACAGAGTCTCACTCTGTTGCCAGGGCTGGAGCGCAGTGGCACAATCTGGGCTCACTGCAACCTTTGCCTACCAGAGAGGTTCAAGTGGTTGTCCTGTCTCAGCCTCCCGAGTAGTTGGGATTCCAGGCGCCTGCCATTATGCCCAGCTAATCTTTTTTGTACTTTTAGTAGAGCTGGGGTTTCACCATGTTGGCTAGGCTGATCTCGAACTCCTGACTTCGTGATTTGCCTGTCTCAGCCTCCCAAAGTGCTGGGATTGCAGGTGTTGAGCCAGTGCACCTGGCGGGGAATAATGCTATTCTAACGCTTTTCCTAGATCTTCTCTATCCATAACCTATTTTCTTATTATATTAGGAATTAATAAGGGTCAAACCATTTTTGTTCTACTTTATACATATGACAAAGACTTTGAGAGTACTTAACTATCTGATTAAATCATTCTGTACATACCACTAATCTTTTGCTTATCATGGTGTCTTCATTCTTGAGGCACTTATTTGAATTTATCTTTTGGATGCTTGTATTTTATTTTTAAGCAATTACTATAAATAATCCCACTTGTATTTAAGGGAAACCCAAAAGTTGCAGCACATATGGGCCAACAGAATCTAACAGTATAGTTGTAAATTTCTCAATAGCAAGGGAAACTGCAGTGAAAATGACAACTAAGCTATCAAAGCATTTAAGGTTGATCACTGGATTTGCAAGAATTAAAAAACCCTTTTTAATAGCAGAGTGTCTACTTTTATACATATTTGGGGTCCTGGCTAGTTGATTTAAAGAAATAGAACCAACTAAATTATATGTATTGAAGCATAACATAAAACTGTCATACTATTTGTTGACATTATTATGTATACAGAATATCCAGAATATCCAAAAGCATCTATAGATAATTACTTTAGAACAAATCAGTGTTTTAAGTTTTGTTGGTGACAACTGTAGTATCAGTTTTGATGCTTCCTTTTCCATATCTGATTTTATTTGTGTCTTCTGTTTCTTTCTTGGTTGATTTAGTTAACAGCTTGGTTGACTTTAGCTTTTCAAAAAACTGACTTTTCATTTTGTCCTTTCATACTCGTTTGTAAGTTTTTATTTCATTTTATTCTGCTCTGACCTTACATTTCTTTTCTAATTCTGGGTTTGGTCTGTTCCTGCTTTTCTAGTTCCATGAGGTGTGTATTATTTATTTGAAATCATCTTTCTACTTCTTTGATATAGGGGCTTACTCCTATAATCTTCCCTCTTAGCACCGCCTTTGCTGTATCCGATAGATTATGGTACGTTGTGTTTCAACTTTCACTTGTGGCAAGAAAGTTTATTTTCTACTTAATTTATTTCTTGACCCAGTGGTCATTCAGGAGCTTGTTTTAATTTTCATGTGTATGTATGGTTTCCAAAGTTCCCCTTTTATTTGTTTATTTCCTAGAGATGATCTATTACCCAGGCTGGAGTACAGAGCGCCATCATAACTTACTCTATCCTCAAACTCCTAGGCTCGAGCAATCCTCCCACCTTAGCCTCCCAAGGTGCTGGAATTGTAGGAGTGAGCCACTGTGTCTGGCTTGATGCCAACTATTTTTTTTTTTTTAATTAATTGACATGTTTTGTGTTGTAACATATGACCTATCCTGGAGAATGTACCACATTCTCTAACTGTATTCTATATCTGTTATATAAAACGTTTTTAATTGTCTGTTACAATTTGGGCTAATGTGCAGTTTAAATATGCTGTTTCTTTGTTAATCTTCTGTCTAGATCTAATACTGAGAGTGGGGTGCTGAAGTCCTCAACTATTGTCACAGTCTCTCTCTCCCTTTAGACTTAAATTTACAAATCTGGGTGCTCTAGTGTTGGGTGCATATATGGTTAGAATTATATCTTCTTTCTGGCTTCATCCCTTTATCTTTTTTAAAAATATATATTTTATTGCTTTTTAGGTTTTGGGGTACATGTGAAGAACATGCAGGACTGTTGCATAGGAACATACATGGCAATGCGGTTTGCTGCCTTCCTCCCCGTCACTTATATCTGGCATATCTCCCCATGTTATCCCTCCCCAACTCCCCACATGGCAGCACTGTTTGATGCCTTCTTCCCCATCACCTATATCTGGCATTTCTCCCCATGTTATGCTTCCCCAACACCCCGCCTCCTGCTGTCCCTCCTCTAGTTCCCCCCTACAGACCTCAATGTGTGATGTTTCCCTCCGTATCCATGTGTTCTCGTTGTTCAACACCCGCCTATGAGTGAGAGCATGTGGTGTTTGATTTTCTGTTCTTGTATCAGTTTGCTGAGAATGATGGTTTCCAGGTTCATCCATGTCCCTACAAAGGACATGAACTCATTGTTTTTTATGGCTGCATAGTATTCCATGGTGTATTTGTGCCATATTTTCCCTGTCCAGTCTATCATCGATGGGCATTTGGGTTGGTTCCAAGTCTTTGCTATTGTAAACAGTGCTGCAATGAACATTCGTGTGCATGTGTTCTGAAAATAGAACGATTTGTAATCCTTTGGATATATACCCAGTAATGGGATTGCTGGGTCAAATGGAATTTCTATTTCTAGTTGCTTGAGGAACAACCACACCGCCTTGCACAATGGTTGAACTAATTTATGCTCTCACCAACAGTGTAAAAGTGTTCCTATTTTTCCACATCCTCTCCAGCATCTGTTGTCTCCAGATTTTTTTAATGATCGCCATTCTAACTGGCATGAGATGGTATCTGCAAATCTCTCCCAGTTTCTTCCCACCATCACCAAGGGACAGGCCAGGATGTCCTTTGATTTTGGGAAAATGCTCAGAGCAGAACAGGAAAAAGGCTGAAGGAGGCCTCTTAGGTGCACTGGGATCCTTGAACAACATTTTTGTCTCCTCTTTAGGAGGGATATAGGTTTTCATTTATCTTTCATAATGGACCATGTCCGCCTTTGCCATATCTTCAAATTTTCCTTTCTCTTTAGCGGGCATGGTCTTCCATGTCTCTAGCAC